CGCGGCCGCCCCGCCGACGCCCGGCCCCCGCCGCCGGGCAGTCCGAGCTCCACAGCGGCGCCCGTCCGCGGCCGCTCTCCCCGCGTCGGGGCAGGCAGGCACCCGCGCCTCGCTCGCTCGGTTTCGCGCACTGACGCCAAAGTTTGCGCGGAAACTTTCAATGCATCTCTTTTCCTGAGCCCCCTCTTCGCGGCGGCTATCTCCGGCGGCTCCCCGAGCCGGGGTCGCCTCCCCAGGGGAAAGGGGCTGATCCCACTGCCGCTCGGCCCGACCCCTCTCCACAAGTCGGGGTGGTGGTGGCGGAGGGGACGAACAGAGCGTTTTCCTCCTGTCCTCTCTGTTTCTGTCTCTCTCTCCCTCACTTTTTCCACCGCTTAAAAAAAAAAAAAATCAGAATAGTAATATATGGGGGAAAAAAAAAAAAAAAAGGAAGAAAAAAATCCAAACTGGCTAGAGAGGGAGGGAACTGGGGCGTGAGAAGGCTCTGTAGGAAAGGGAGGAAACAAAATCCCAGCGGATCAAAGTATAAGTGGGGGAAAATAAATTAAACGAGAGGGTAAAGCAAGGCGGCAAGCCAACAGCAGGTCCCGGTGCCCGGGGAGGGCTGCTCCCGCGGCGCGCTGTCCCCCGCCGGCGCGCGGTGCACTCCTCGCCCCCGGCGCGGCGGCAGCCCCGCTCCGCGCACTCCAGCGGCGGCTCCGCGCAGCGCCCTCCCCACCGCCCGGTCGCCGGCGCTCTGCAACTGCTCGGCTCCGCCGCGGGGAGAGACGCTCCGGCGAAGTCCCACCCCTCCCTGCCTATTCCCCTCCCTCTCCCCTCCCATCTCTGAGCTGGGAGAAAAGGCCACGGAGGTAGAGGGGTGCGTTGCCCCCCTCCGCCGCCCTCCGCCGTCGCCCCACGGGGGACCGCAGCCTCCCTGCCCTGCCTTCCCACGGCGGCTGCCCCACGGGCCCTGCTTCCTCCACCCTTTCTGCCCTGCCGGTGGATGCATGTTCGGGTCAAAATTCACCTTGCCCGTGGGAATTACTCCAAAGTCCAGCAGAGCCATTTGGGGAGAGGGAGCAGCGGGGGACAAATTGTAGTCACAGCCAATCAGCTACCCCCCCTCCTCCCCCCCGGGCTTGGTTTTTCGGATACCGTGATGTCTTAGCACCTATGTGTTAAAGGGCTGAAGGGGGGATTATTCTCATCTGGGTTTTATTTCTCTTAACCCAGTGCCATCCCCCCTTATGTCAGAGGCCTGCCTATGCTGGCTGTGTGATGCCCTGGTGTACAGAAGGGTGTCGTACTGAAAGGGGGGAAGGTTTTGCCACACGAACGCCACTCTGCTTTCTGGGAAGGTATTTGGAGGGCAAAGAGGCAGTTTTGCTCGCTGGGTTTAGCGCAGGTATTCCCCAACCAAGCTCCTTTGCTCCTGTCACTCACAAAATTTCCTCATACGGCATACATAGTAACAATATGTGTGTGTCAACATATATAAATTTTTCTCCTGCTATCGTCCTCCAAGGACTTTAGGTGGCGGATAGAGTGGAAGTCCAGACTGGCATATCCTGGGGCTTACTATGGACTGGAGGAAGGGGAAGGAGAAAAAGACACCGAAGAAAGAAAAGGCTGTATTATCATTCAAAAGCAGGTATTCCAGTGCTGTGCCCCAGGCTCCTACTGATACAGGCAAAGCATTGGCTCTATAGAGGCACCTGCTGGCTGAGAGAAATACATGAAACAAAACCCCCCAAAATAAAAATCTTTGCTTTCAGTAGATCTTAGACCTGTTCTTCCCTTTGTTTAATTTTTAAAGATTTTTTTCTCACCCCTTGGCGCAGTATGCGAGGATGTCACCCTAGTCACACTAATCCCTAGGAAGACTGGGAGATGAGTGACAGGTCTGCCTGAGCAAGGAGCAGCTCCTATCCAGCCCCTCTGCTGCCCCAGATGTAGAGTCACACCCCACACCCCTTGTGCCCACAGCCTTCCGTCTGGGCAAGGGGAGAAATCTAGCCCAGTCAAAAGCCTGGAGGAGGATATAATCCCTTTCCACTCAGGGATTACATTTCTACAGAGGAGTGGTGGGTGTTGTTCAAATATTGCAAAATAATCCCTTCTCCTTTGCTTTCTCTGTAGTTTTTTAACAAATTGTTGCAGAGGGTTTCTGAGGAAATAATTACCCATCCAAAATAATTGGAGTTTCCCATGTTCAGAATGCAATTGCCAAAAATGTCTTCCAAGAAACAGGGAGACTTCAACCTCCCCCAGGAAAAAGAGGGGATATTTCATTAACAGAAGGTAAAGCTAAATTAAAGTTCCTGGAGGCAGAAACTGCTTCTGACTCTGTCCCAGTTCACTGTGAACAGCTCCCTCTTTATGCCAGGCCTCTGTACTTCAGACCAGCAGCAAGCAGATAACTCACTCAGTACTTTTTATTTGGTGGAAGGTCCTAGGTGCCTTTTTTTCTCCTGCTAGGTAAGCATTTTATGAATGATGGTAGCTCTACCGTGAATAACTTGCAATTCTAACACTCCTCTGGATGCACAAAATCCCTCCAATTGCTGCACTGCTTTAAGTCCCCCACAGAAACCTCACAGAAAAGATTTAATCCACGAGTGGCAAGGGGCAGCCTTATAATCTTAAAGCCACAATGTACTGTAAATAATGTACAGAACCCAGCTTCTAAAATTACCACTACAGGATTGCTCATCTCGTTTTATGTTTCATCTGGATCCTGTGATCTTTCCACCTGCCAACATCCTGTTACTAGGAGAGCAATATATGTTAAGTTTGTGCAAATGATCATGTACTTGCTGAATTCTGGCACCAGCAAGGACATTCATGTGCCTTCCATGTTAACGTTACACCATAATAAATACTGACATTGCTATAGAATCTGCAGTGTTCATGATAAGCGCTGCTTACCAAAAAAGCAAATCAATCTCTGTCCTAGCTACACTTCTTTATTAGCCTTGTTGTCTTTCCCATGCCCATGGCCCCTGAGACAGAAAGAAAGACAGCATCAACGGGCAGGATTTTAAATATGGAATATCTAAAAGCGTAAGCTCTGTGTTTAGGCACTTAAGGGAAGACGCATGATTTGCAAAGAGGCTGGGTGATGACTTTTTGGAGCTGTGGGACGCTGAGAACTTTTAAGAACCTGACCATAATTTAGAACTTCATCTTGTAGATTGAATTCAGTGGAAGCTTTAGCATTGGCTTCAAAGGGCATAAGATCAAGCCCTTATTGAGGGGTTCAAAATACAAAACTAGGAGTCTAAATTTAGGCATTCATTTTTTAATAGTTAGTAATACCCTTTGTTTAATCCCTCTATTTAACCTGAAAAGAGACAAATGTCAGTAACTTTTTACCAACTCGTCTAGGAGAACCTGTGGCAAGAAATGCATTACTTGCACTTTGTTTATTTTTTATCCCCTCTCTCAGATCCCCAGAATAACAGCCAGAGTAATGTTAGTAGAGGAGTTCAGACCCAGTTTGAAATTGGAACTGGAAATGTGAGAAATATGGACGTCAAAAAACAACCAAAACAAAACAATATTTCCTTAGTATTCTATGTTGTGGGCAAGTCCGGGGGGAATCTAGATTTGGATAATCCAAATTAGGAGAGAAGTCAGAGAAACAAAGAGTAATTTTAAACATTTTAGTGCCAGAGCTATTTCTTAACACACAGCTCACTCACTGATTTCAAATATAGTTCCTCAGTGCTGAGCATGGAGAACAGCACAAGAAAAATCAACATCTTGATACGACCTTCTAGCAGACATGGAAAAAAGGCCAGAGTGGAGTGAGCTGTTGAGAGAAGCAGTCAGGTGAACAAAACTTAAACGTCCTGAGATATTTCAGGTAGTTCTTTCGTTGTAAGAAATCACAGGAACACAAGATGCAGTAACCAAGCTATGGCCGAATTGGCTGCAGTGATGACAAGATGGTGAATCAATTAACTGCATGATCCTTATTATTGTGATTATTTTTGTGTCAGTTGCACTAACAGGGAAGGTAGCAGCTGTAGGTATAACAAAAGGTTGCTCCTCTAAGATACTTTGCCAACGCTCCCTCTACTGTGGCATAAATAGAATACATGTGACGGGCAAGGGCAGTGCTCTGCTCGATTTGCAAGCATTAGAGATGCCCATGCACCACCCACTGGCAGTTTCACTCACCTCTGTCACTCAGGAGTTTCCCAAAGATATTCAGCTTCTGGAAAGGGAGAAAAATGTTCACAAATACACAGTACCATTACTTATTCTGTCCTTCTGGGCTGATTTTTTACCCTGGGTGCTTCTCCCATAGTCAATAATCACAGCAGGTTATGAGTTGCTTCCCTTCCCGTACTCTCTATCTTCCTGTCTCTGACTGAATCTCTGTATAATCCTTTTGCAGCAAGCAGCAGAGGCAGCGATAGGTAACAGGACAGGTCCTCAACCACCAGCAGGATTGTTTTAACATCTACAGAGAGATCAAGGTACTCAAAACAGCTCTTCCTGCCAAAACTACATGTAATGTCAGCCTAAGGGTACAGTCATCTTGACCCCAACTTACATTTCCCCAGCTAATAGAGCTGGTAGGAATATGCACACACAGTTATTG